TTAGGAGACTGGAGCTCCATTTGGCTTTTAAAGACATTTAAAAAAATCTCTATATTGTTCAGTAAGGCCGTATTTATACAGCCCAGAGGTAGAGAATTGAATATCAGTGGGATCTCATTTCGTTATTGGAGGCCAACACTGAAGAATTTGGGGATCATGGGTGCCAAGTTCTGGTCATCCCATATTATAAGACCTGCCCCCAGAATGTAAATTGTTGTCTGATAAAGCTTGGGAACTTGGGATCCAATATTGTCATCCGTTTACATTTTAAAAGCCTCTAAATCTGCCTAACTGCTTTCCTCATTTCCTCCTGAAATCACTTTGGGCCTTCCTTCCTTTGGGACTTTGCCTCGGCTGTGTATTCCTCTTGATAGGCTGGTGCTCTCCAGCCACATCCTACTCATCGTTTTACAGACCAGAACAAATCCTATGTATTCTGAGACCACCTCAGTTCCAAGGACAGTAGTTCTCAAACTCTAGTAGGTGCTGTAATTATGTACAGAGATTAGAAATACTCAGATTCCCCTGCTTTAAAACTAGAGATTCTGATTCAACAAGTCTGGGGTGGAGACTAGAATAAATCTCCTTCAGAAGTTCCCCAAGTGATGCTGATCTGTATAACTTGAGTGACCCTTACTTTGAGAAAGTCAGGACATGTTGCCTGGGCACTCACTGAATGGCCAGACTCTATTGCTAGGATAAAGAATCATTCCTACTTGTGCATAGGTCTCAAGTCTGTGGACACAGCTCAAGGGCGAGGCACATCTTCCCTTCTATGGGTCTTTCATGAAGTCTGACCTTGCACATAGTAGGCCCTTATCAGAGCCCACGATCTAGGACCACAAGTCAATCCTCTCTCCTAACATGCTCTTTCTAAGGGCATCCTTTCCTTAATGGGTAGCTGTATTTTAGGGATACCGGAGTTCTGGCTTTTGAAGGTGCTTTGTAAATGGACAAGTGTTAAACACACACAAGGGATTATTTTTTTTTTTTTAAAAGACAGTTACTGCTAGAGTCATGCAACCTATGTAATATAGTGGTTAATATATAAATAACAGATTTATTTAGTATAAAACTATCTTTATACATGTAATAGGTCATTTTTCTTTGCACACAAATATCAGGTTTATTTCCTTGATATCAGCATCAAGTGTTGGCCAAATACTGATATGCAATTAAGTTGCTGTTTGAGCTAACTTATCTATAGAGATATTTGGACCCAGGAAAATTCTAGATTTTAAGGAAAATTTAATGGAAACAGTTACTGAGAATTTCAGGAAGGCATTTGGTAGAGGGAGCGTTAAGTTTTAACGGTCTATGATTAGATAAACTAGATGATTTATTTTATAGTCTGTAAAGGACTTGGGAGTGAGGGGCCCTGGGCACTAGTCTTAGTTGTACTGCTGACTTTCTCCATCTGTTCTGTAGGTGTTTGGGCAGGTAATCTTAAGTCCCTTGATAGCTGGAGCTATCTGATCCTTTATATGAAGATACATCACTCGAGCAACCATGTCAACGTGAGAAAGAACAAAAAAGAAAGAAAAGGGACAGGGTGTTTTAAAGTTAGGGGGAGAAATACTCAGAAGCAATCATAGCGTCTACAATGTCTAGAATATTCTCTCACAGGAAGCGGGCAAATGTATAAATTCGGCTGTGACCAGATTTTCAGATGATCTTCTAGGCACAAAACCAACAAAATACGCAGCAGGGCAATTGCAAGACACAATTTGACCTGACAGGATGGCCACAGCAGGGAACTGGGCTGCTGACAGGCAGAGCTGAAGAGCCCTCTGGGCAATGGTATGCAGAAAATTAATATGTTCTCTCAGCCTCACCCCAGCGCCCCAAACGCCAAGGCTGTGTTCACAGCCATTCGGAGCAGGCTATCAGGAAAATCTCATCTGCAGGAATGCGCAGGCCGCGTGAGTGGCAGGGAAGATTGGAAGCATACTTGGGGTATTTGTTCTTGGATCTCGCCTATCATCTGCAGCTCCCACAGCCCTTCACACATCTTAATTAAACTGTTGACGGAGGATTAAGTGACTCTGGGTTAAGGATGCCAAGAAGCCCTGGGCTGCCGTGGGGACTAGGTGCCAGATTTCTCAGACACCGCAGTAGAATTCTTGTCTTACTGTTCTCTCCTTCTGCCCTTATTGGGTGGTAAGTGATCTTATCTCCCCACCCACCGAAGCCCTGAATTTCTCAGGGATCTGTAGAAAGCTGAGAAATACTGTTTCCCTGATTTCACTCAGTTCAGCAGTTGCCCTGGCTGCCTATAATCTCTTGCTGTGTAATGAAAAGGATATTATAATGACAGTAGTGGTTCCCTTTTGTGAACGTGCCTTGGGACAAGGGATGTCCCTACCCTGAAGAACTCCTTCGTGGATCCTGCTTCCAGCGTCCCGTACGCGATTTCTGTCTGCTTTGCTAGGTCCTCGGCACTCTCAATGGGTGACACCATCCTCTCCACGGTCAAGAAGGCAGCCAGGTTGGCTGTGTATGAGGAGATGATGATCAAAGTGAAGAACCACCAGACGCCACCAACGATGCGGCCAGACAGGGACCTGAAGGCCAATGGGAAGAGGTGTCAGAAGCACAGACATCAATTACAGAAGGCTTTAGGGAGGGGCTGAGAGCCAGCCTGAGCCCTGTCAGCAGGGCTGTCAAGCCCTGTTGCACCCTTCTCCTCTGTCAGCAAGATGTGAGAACTCACACGTCAGAGAGATTCTCCTTTGTATTTTGTTCCTTATCATGGATAAGAACCTGTAGGGTTGCTGTCCTTCACGGGCGATAAAATCCTACAGGCATATATTCACACTCACTCTCACACAGACATATACATAAAGACATATGCCAGCAAAGACACAGGTATGTCAGCACTTGCCCCCCCAAATCACAAACACATATAAACATTCTGTTAAATGCAGTTGGGTATACACTAAATGTTTATGCGTACATGTATGAATACAAATGCATTTACACACGCGATGCATATGTTTAATCACGCCCAGCAATGTTTTCAGACTGCGTTTTCATTTTGGCCAAGGCTGCCAAAATGATGGACTAGAAGGGAAGGGAGAATGTACTGGAAATAAATGAGAACAACAGTGCTCCAGCCACTTCGTAGAATGTCACCATTGAGTGAAGAGAAAGAGATTTAGCTGAAATAATAAAAGACAAAAGATATTTTGTCGTGGATCAAACAGCAAATATGACAATCCTACATAAGGTGAGAAACTCATCCTTAATCTTCTTAGAGTCCTATTCTCTATGCCCAAAACAATGAAGAGAAACACGACCAGTCAAGAGTTCCACTGTGATCTTGTGGATTTGGCTAAGGGATTTTCAAGTCAGTGGCTTCTGAAAGATATTACACATGATTTAGATGTTACATGGAGTGATTTTATGTGGTGGACAGATATGGCATCAAATTATATTGAATCATATAATGATAAAGTTATTTGCCTTCCATTTCTCTTTCCATTCTGCTCCATTTATTAAAGAAGTGCCATCTTGGAGCTACTGTACTTTTAAGCCCCTTCTAACAGCTTCATGAGGCTCAGAGCTTTCAATAGGTGACAGTCCTTAACTAGAACCTATACTTAACAACCAGAGAAATCACCAGTAACAGTCCATGAGTTTTATAGATAAAGAAACTCAAGAGCCCCAGAGTACAGTGGCCCAGGAGCAATACCCGGGCCTGCGGATTTGCTTGCTTGTTCCACACTGTTTTCAAAAATGCTGTTTGACCTTCTCCGTATTATTCTCACGTTCCTGTGTGCTGAACTTTGTTTCAGTTTCTTGGAGACTTCCTTTTCCCAGATAGTGCTCACTCCAAGACGTCTAACGGATACTCGTTATAATAGCTCGCTGTATGGAAAGTAACTGTTCCTAGAGGGAAATGAGAGGAGATTTGTTCAAAGGAAAGAGACCAGGAGAGTTGGAGCAATGCTATTTCATATGAAGAATTGCTCAGGAAGAGGGGGCATTTTACCGGAAGAAAACACTCAAAGAGATATGTTTTCACTAGTGCGAGGCTTGTACCCTGTGACCCGATTTAGGAACATTCGTCAGCAGTTCCAGGAAACAAACATTAACTAAATATGAGGAAGATATTTTTGATGGGCAGGGTAATGCAACAGTGGCTGTCCTGGGGGTAGGAACGAATTCCCCCATTTCTGAAGATGTTCAAGCCGAAGACCATGTACAGAGACGTTGTACTCAGTGCCTACTCTTGGTCCAAGGCACAAGTGCTGAAAACACAAATCTAAGCAAGACAGAGGAGGAGTCAGGTAGTACCTGGGGCCAGAGACATCTGCTTCCTCTCACTCTTGCCCGCTCTGAGACTCTATAATTTGAAAACATAGGTAGAAGAGAATGCATGGCTCCCACTGGGTAGTCAAGCACAATGAGATATATAGAGCAAAATTATCGCTCTGACACCCCAAGACCAGTACATAGTTGGACAAAAAAATCACATCAGTGTTTGACTCTCCATTCCAATGCTCTTTTCACCTTAAGATGTGGCAAATACAAGTGTCCAGGCCTGTGTGAAACTGCTGCTGTTTTCCCAATTCTGGATGACCATAATGATGTCTAAATTAAACTTCCTGCTTCCGTTCGGCCTCCTCTGCCCCCACCCCTCTGCCTAGTCGGTCCTCCACAAGGCTGCCCGAGTGATTCTTTAAAAAAACATTAATTGTATCACATGGCTCCTCTGCTTAAAACCCATCAAAGCCCTCTTCTGACACATGGAATAAAATTCAAAGTCTTTGGTGACTCGTAAGGCCCTGTGTGGTCTGGCCCTGGCTTGCTCTGCAATGTCACCCATAATAAGCTTTTTGTACTCTGGTTACGTAGGGCTTGGTTTGGTCCTTCTTATTCAGACGGCTCTCACTCCTACCACATGCTGCTCTTTCCCCTGATCAACGCATCAGCCCTATTCATCTGTCCTGCCTCATCCTAGCCATCAGTTTTTCAACATTCAAATGTTAAGACTCTCAGAGCCCCACGAAGCTCACATTGCAGTTGAAATCCGACAGCTGTTTGTGTGCTTGTTTGACCGTCTGTTGTTCCCGTAGACCATATGCTCCATGATAGTAAAGGAACATTTACAGTTCTTTTGTGCAGTGTTGTATATCCAGCATGGAGCACACAGTAGGCCTCAATAATGAGTGAATGCATGAATGCTGTCACTCTCATAAGCTGATGGCTCTGTGCACACTGAATTCTAGAGACCAGGCATAGTTTTCTATCCAGCAGCATCCAAACCTGCTTACAACCCAGGGTGTGTGGAGTCATGGCCTCAGACCAAGTGTTCAGGATGGCTACTTCCTCTTCCAACATTACCCAGCTGAGGTCTCCCAAGTTGGAGATCATCTAGTGAAGGTTAAAGGCCTCCCAGGAAAGTTCTAGGCCTACGGCTCCTTCTTCCCTGTTCTCCTCTAACTAATATGCATCTGACAACACTTCCCCTGTATGTTATTCCCCACATCCCTACCTACTTAATGAAGAGACCAAAGACAGAGTCTGTTGCTTAACAGCCAGCAAATGTCATCGTGGAGTAACTGGAGGGTTGGACGAAGAGGCTTTTCAGAATGCGACATGATTCCGACGCTTCATTTGCATCTGATCCATAAGATGGGAACTTGAGTGTGAGGCTACCCCCTTCCTTTAGTTTACACCTGGTACAGGCAAAGCTGGGCCTCTATCCAAGAACTCTGCATTTTCCCAGCCCCACACCAGTGGCAGGAAGCTGGAATATTAGAGGCCAAGGCTGGAGATGAGAGCCTTAGCTTTTTCATTACCCATCCCCATAACCTTGGCAAGTCGCCTGCTCAGCTGGGCTTAGTCTTCTGTGTAATGGGTGAGACTAACCTTACTTCCTGGTGAGAAATCAGAACTTTCAGAACTAGAAAGACTCTTAGTCCATTCTTTTCCTTTAACAGATACAAGCTATTGGAATTTAAATGGTAGAGGGGAAAGCACTTTGAAAAGTGCTGTTGAAATACAAGGCATTATTTTTATGATGACGATTATTCTCCCAGGGAGCCACAGAGTGAAGCGGCACTTTTCTTAGTGGGGAAAGGACAGTTGTCACCTGAATGCCTTGGAGATCTGCCTAGCTGCCTAGAATTTTATTAGTCTCGTAACTTTGCACAGCTATTCCTAAAGCTCCCTAGGTAATTGAGGAATCCTTTGTTTTCCTCTAGAATTGGCCAGAACTTAGATGGCTCATTGGACCCATTCTTGAACTTCATGTATAGCCCTGTGGACAGGAAAGAGATGACTATCTGTAGTTGGAAAAACTACAGTTAAGGGATGTGAAGTGACTTCCTCAGGGTCACACACTGAGGCAGTGGCAGAGCTGGGACTAGAAACCAGGACTTCGCAGTTCTGTCCAGCACTCTATCCACTACAGAACATTCCCTCCCTCACCAAATTCTCATTCATTTGTAGATGGGCATGAACTTCCTCAACCTGTGATACCTCTGTGATGTCAGGTCACAGCCAACACTCACTCCTTGTAAAGCTCAGTGGAGCCTTTGGGATCCGTAGAAAGCAGTCTCACTACCAGTCTCCACAGAATTGGAAAACTATCGTTGTATTTGTTTTCTACCAACTGCATAACAAATCACCACAAACTTGGTGGCTTCTAACAATATTCATTTATGATCTCACAGTTCTGTAGGTCAAGAGTCTGGGTTAGGGTGTCTAGATTCTCTACTCAGGGTCTCCCAGGCTGAAATCAAGGTGTTGGCTGGTGCTATTCTCTGGAGCTTGGCGTCCTCTCTCAAGCTCATTGGTTGTTTGCAGAATTCATCTCCTGTGGTTGTGGGACTGAGGTCATCATTTCCTTGCTGGCTGTCAGCCAGGGCTGCTCTCAGCTCCTAGGGGCTGCCTGCATTCCCTTCCATCTTCAAACCAGCAATAGTCTGGCAAATCCCTCTTGTTCTCTGAACCTCTCTGACTTCCAGTAGCTGCAAAAAACACTCTGCTTTTAAAGGGCTCATCTCCTTGAGTCAGGTCCACCTCTGTTAGTCTTAACCTCTGTCAATCTTAAAGTCAACTGACTCGAGACCTGAATTACATCTGTAAAATCTCTTCACAGCAGTACCTAGGTTAGCATTTGAATAACCAAGAGACAGAATTGTTAGAATCCTGTGTACCATACTATTTATTCACTCATTTTACAAGCATTTCTTATATGGCAGGCACTGCTGGGCATTTGGGAGATAAAAGTGAACACACCCCAGTCTTCCATGGAGAAGATGGGAAGTACAGCCTAGTGACCAAAACGTGGGCTTTGGGGTCAGATGTACTGATTTGTTGTAAAGTGCTTAACGTAGTGTTTGGCACATAGTTAGCACTCAGTAAAGCCATCATCACCATCTTATATAAATAGCCTTAGTGGTAATTATAGTACTATCTCAATTATGTGACAAGAAAGCAGCACTAAGGGAAAACAGAGGTCAGGGAAAGTTACCAGAGGAGGAGAAGCTTGTGCTAGGTTTTGAAACGTGAGTAAGAGATTGCCGAGCAGAATAAGTGCAGGGTTGTGAGA